TCAATGTTTGGCCATGCTAAAAGTGCCTCTGGTAAGCGGTAGTAGCAAATTATAAAATGATCTCTTAAATTTACATTACATGTGTACGCAAGGGGAGGATCTAGGAGAAAAACTGGAAGAGAAAAGGTTTTGTGGGGTTGTCTGTTTGGAATGATGGGTAGAGATCCTTTCAATTCTTTTATCGTTACAACAATACGGAGGCAGGAAGGAGCACTGAAGATAACACTAGACTTGGGGTCATAATACCAGCTCCTTCCCTCGTCGTCATCTTAATCTTGAGCAAGCTCCTCAGTCACATCTCTAAAGAGGAAGAAATGTATTAATAATCACTGGATGTGCGGGCCTTTGTGAGTGGTAAATGAGGTAACCAAACTGGCACCTGAGCTCTGCGTCAAAGGGAGCCGAATGTAGGTTGAGCGTCTATGCAATGGCTTTTTCTTCTAATGTGGTAGAAGAGATGGCAGTCCTAGTTCAACTGGAATCCACTTTGACTTTAGGGGTTAGATAGGACCTGGTCACTGTGATGTGCAGGTAAACAGAAGACCTCAGAAAACAAATCATACTGCTCTCAAGTTGCTCTCTGTGAACTTGCGTTTTCTACTTTTATTGGCCAGAATGCGGGGTGGAAGAGACGCAGGGGTGGGTAAATGTCCAAATGGAGAAGGGATATGGCCTAGACTTTAGGGAAAGCTGAGAAGAGAGATCTTACGACACCTTGCTCTAAGATCAATAGTAGCTCTTTGACCTCGAATTCATCTCTTTTGATATTATCTTTTTAAATTTTCACAGAAATACAGACTCGTAGAATATTAGGAGTACAAAGGACTTTCCAGTACAAGATAGCTAACTGACCATGTATTTATCTTCTGTCCCTTCCAAAATGATACTAAATGATAAGAAAGGGGCCGGCACAGTGGCTCACACCTCTAGTCCTAGCACTTTGGGAGGCCAAGGTGGGAGGACTGCTTCAGGCCAAGAGTTCGAGACCATCCTGGACAAGAGCAAGACCCATCTCTATAAAAAAAATAGAAAAATTAGCTGAGCATGGATGGGGCGCATGCCTATAGTCCCAGCTACTAGTGAGGCTGACATGAAAGGATCGCTTGAGACCAGGAGTTTGAGGTTGCAGTGAGCTCTATGATGAGGACAGTGCATTCTAGCCTGGGCAACAGAGCAAGACTCTGTCCCACAAAAATAAATAAATAAGATAAGAGAGAGGAATCTTTTTTTTTTAAAGTGAAGCCAACGAGAGGGGAGCTGTCCATGCATGAGAGATTTCAAAAGATTTCTGGAAAATGAAAGGTGTTGGAGGAGTGGTGACTAAGGACATAGCATGAGAAAATCTTGATTCCCCAGTGAGTGTGGGAGGGGGTTACAGGAACAGGGAGGAGGGAGCAGATGGGTCTCAGTGAGCCCTGGAGAGCCAGGGTCCTGGAAATACAGGAGTGGCACAGGATGGGAATGCAACAGAGCTGAAAATGGGAAGGTGACTTACACATTTCCTGTCAGATCTTCTACCCCTTCACCCCCTCCCGCTGTCCATCACTGAGGCATTCTCCCAGTCAGAAAATAAGCAGATTTTCCCCCCACTAATTTCTGAGAAAAGAGGTCTTTTTTTCTTTTAAAAAAATATTTTTTAAGTAAACAGCCCTAAAGCAGAGGTTTTTCCACATTACACCTGACTTTGTCAAATCACCGTAAAATAACACCCCCCCAATGAAGAATCTTCGCTCCTGTCCACAGAGCAGGATGTTACAGAGAGATGGTCGTGCAGACGCTGGTACGTTCATTTGCGTTACCTCGAAATATGATGGGTACCCGAGGATGGCCAGGACATTTAGGGACAACTGTACAACCTGTAATGGGAAAGAGAAAGACCAGGATGAAATGAACAGGAAAATTACCCTAGAGGCAGCAGAGGATTCAGGAGACTGAAGAGGTCTTAAGCAAAACAAAGAAAACCCTCTCAAATTTATATCCTTCAGAGAGATTTGAGAAGATATTACATCCATAAAATAAGAACAGGATGCCTTGAAAAAGGAGCCACTAGAGAACAAGAAAGAGTTCTTAGAAAGTAAGACTAATCTCCTAGAAGTTGTTAGAACCAGAATACAGAGATGGAAATAGGAGGAAAAAAAAGATAAGAGATGTACAGGAATAGTCTAGAATGTCCAACTTGTTACTTATGAGAAAGGAAAAATGGAGGAAAAAATATTAAAGAAACAGTATAAGCTTTACACAGTGGCAGTAATCATAGTCAATGAGGTTTATCTGAGGTGTGCTTATTGCTAATTGAAAACTTTTCCCAATAGCCCACCATGACAACTTGCAGTATAGTCGGCATTGGCAATTTTTGATGGTCCCTACAGGGACTGATTAAAAAAAAAAAAAAATACAGAATTTTCCCAAAATTAAAAGAGATCTCTGAGTTGCTCACATAATGCATGCAGAAAAGATAACATACCCAGGAGCATTGTTGGAAAATTTTAGGACATTGAGAATAAAGAGGATACATGGTTCTAGAGAGAAAAAGCCAGGCCCTTTCAAAGGATCAAGAGTGAAGTTGGCATGAGCTGGACTGGATGATAGAAGATAATAGAATAGTATCTTTGACATTGTGAGGGGAGGTGATTTTCAACGTAGAATTCTTTTTCTTAGAGACAGGGTCTTGCTCTGTCACATAGGCTAGAGTGCCATGGCATCATCACAGCTCACTGTAACCTCAAACTCCTGGGCTCCAATGATCCTCCTGCCTCAGCCTCCAGAGTAACTGGAACTAGAGGAATATGCCACAGTGCCCAGCTAAATTTTTCTTTTTTTGTAGAGGAGGGTCTCTCTATGTTGCCCAGGCTAGTTTTAAACTCGTGGCCTCAAGCAATCCTCCCACTTCGGCCTCCCAAAGCACTGGGGTTACAGATGTGAGCCACCACTCCTGACCTCAACATAGAATTCTATACCCATCCAAACTAGATGAACTAGTTTGGATAAACATTTATCTAAACATAGTTTGGATAAACATTTGGAGATTGGGGAAGTTTACCTCTCACATACCAGTTCTTGGGAAGTTACTAGAGATTGTGTTCTAGTGAGATGAGGAAGTCATGACATCCTAGAAAGCCAGGAGGGAGAATAATGAAGGAAAGTTTCAGAATATCCAAGTGCAGAGGGGAGTCAGTCCCTTGGAGCAGGAAGACTCAGAATTTCAGATGGGAGTTTTCCTAGGGGGGAGCGGGTGTTTGGAGAAACTTGACACTATCTTTGGAAATTTGGACTAACCTAAAAAGGTGTCAACCTAAAGGCAGACAGAAAAAAGAAAGACAATTGGAAACCCCAGGAGTAGGTGATAGAACACAAAAAGCTGAAAAGACAGAGCAATACTATCATATACCCTTTAGCTATATAGAAAGCAGTATTTATAATATTAACAATTATAATGTGAGCACTCTTGGTTGATTTTGAATTCAGAGTCAATATACGGATGAAGGAAGGGCTTTTGGCTACAGGACAGATGGTTTTAACCTTGATAATGTAAAAGTATAGCTGAATGGATGAAGGTGGGAGTGGGGCAGAGAGCTCAGGGAGGGATGCAAACACCCTTGTCTTAAAAATTAATCCTAGCACTCTGCGAGGCCGAGGTCAGGAGTTCGACCAGCCTGAGCAAGAGCAAGACCCTGTCTCTACTAAAAATAGAAAGAAATTAATTGGCCAACTAATATATGTAGACAAAAATCAGCCTGGCATGGTGGCGCATGCCTGTAGTCCCAGCTACTCAGGAGGCTGAGGCAATAGGATTGCTTGAGCCCAGGAGTTTGAGGTTGCTGTAAGTGTGGACACAAAAGATAACATCCTAACTGATGGGACCAAGAAATAGAGGTATAAGGACATTATTTTAAAGTAACAAAGGTAACCAGTAGAGAAACAGAAAATGGTAACATAACCACATTAGGAAGAAAGGAAGATAGTTAGGGTAGTACAGCTGAGCCATGCTCTCATGTGTTAAATAAATCAATGACAATGTTTTGATGAATCAAACAAGAAAAAACAGTACAGATATATTATTTAGGAACCAGAAGAAGCCAAAATAGTAACAATGAAATGATTTTAAAAATGATTTCCTCTGAGGAGTAGAACTTAGAGAAAAAGCAAGGTTGGGGACTATTGTGTTGCTTTTCCTTCTATCAGTTTTTGGTCATCTTTTTGAAATCATTAGTTTTTATTATTTCTTTCACAAAGGGAAGCCAAAAGAAAGAAAGAAATGGAAGGATCCTGTGAAATCATAATACAACATACTCGAAATGCCAGATGGCCACAGACTTCTCTTAAGACCTGGGACTTAGACCCAGATCTTCTGACTCTATAAGTGTGTGTGTGTGTATATGTCATTTTTTAATTTTTCTCTTTTGAGACAGAGTCTCACTCCATTGCCCTGAGTAGAGTACCGTGGCATCAGCCTACCTCATAGCAACCGCAAATGCCTGGGCTCGAGCAAGCTCAAGCTTGCTGGGACTACAGGCATGCACCACCAAGCCTGGGTAATTTTTTCTGTTTTTTTTTTTTTTAGTTGCCCAGTTAATTTCTTTGTATTTTTAGTAGAGACAGGGTCTCACTCTTGCTGAGGCTGTTCTCGAACTCCTGACCTCAAGCGATCCTCCCGAATCAGCCTCCCTGAGTGCTAGGATTACAGGCGTGAGCTACCGCGCCTGGCTGTCTGTGTATGTCATTCTCTCTACTTCTTTTTGCTCTTTTGTTTTGAAGTCTTTTGTTCTATAATTATTTGGAGGATTCCTGGAGCTTAAAACACAGATACATACTTAGAAATAAAAACTTTACCAGATCCTGTTTCGGAAGAAGTCGCTTGTTCCTTTGCCTTTCCGAAAATCACTAGCACTGTTGTTTGAGTCTTTAATCTTTAATTTTGAAAAACGAATTCTATGGATATGTTTCTGAAGGTTTAACAGCTTTTTTTTTTCTTTTCTCTCTTTTTACACTCTGGTTTACAGTTTAACCCTTTACCAGAAGGTCCTATCCCTCCATCCACACCAAAGTTTGCCTATGGAAAAGTCGTTCTGAAAAAGGTAAGACAAAAAAAAAAAATAGCGGACGTTGAAAGTGAGATGGGAGTGAGGAAGTGGGGTTCAGCAGCAGTGAGTGAAAGTGCTGTGCTGGGGAATCGGTTCGTTATTTTTCTGTGAATTTGTTTCTGGGAGCCCGATAGGGTAGATGATGTTTCGGGTAGACGGCGAGCTGGAGGTGAGTAGACACACACGCTTGTTGACAGAATGAGCGAATGGGATGTGAGCGGGAGCAGTAGCGTTTTTACATCATTCAGGTCATTTGGGTTCAGTTATCAGTTGTCAAAAGCAGTGGCAGGAGGCTTTTTGGAAATTACATGCCATCTCACTGTTCTGGCTCGAGAGGCTGTTTCCCATAGTTCACTTTTTTTTAAAGGGGTTCCCCAAAATCACAGGCATTTTGCTAGGTCTCTGCCTTCAATTATACACTCCCCTGCATCTCACAATCATGGCCTTATTTTTATGATCTGTGGTTTACATGGCATATGAGATATAAAGGGAGAAAAGCTGGAAATTAATCACAAATGGGAGTTACGAGCATTGTATTCTAGGGAAAAAGAAAAAGCAGAGGTTTTATTTAATAGTCAGAAGGATTGACGTAAGCCAAACTCAATTTGTTTTGACCTTCTGTGTCTTCAGGCTTTCCCCTTTTATAATCCCTAACTCCTACATGTATTAACTCACAAGGAAAAAAAAAAAAAGAAAAAAACATGAGCAGTTACTTATTTCTTAAGAATCTTGATATCCTAAAATAGCATCATAAGTTTTTATCTTTAAGCAAAATGCCAAACATGACGATTATATAATTTTTCCACTCAAGAAGCCCTTTGACATGTTGGTTGGCTGGGTGAGCTCTTGTAACATTTTCCACGTAGTGTCAGATACGGGTGCTACCTTCTACAAGAGTGTGGTCTCTCTGCCTGATAGGAATCTTTCTTTAGATTAATCAGACTTCAACCACACTTGTAAAAGGAGCACCTTCTACTTGCTCATTGCTTCAGCTACTTAAGGAAAGTGTTGGTTTGTTTGTTGTAGATGTGTGAGAAATTTATTTTTATGCTACAGAAAATAACTCAAATGTTCAAAACAACCAAATTGCTAAAAGAAAACTACCTGGGTACCAGAAGCACATTCTGTTTACCGTGAAGGAAAACTGGGTGCACAGAAATGGCTTTTCATGGTTTGCTAAATGTATACGATTTAAGATACCAGATCAGCACAGAACTGAATTGAATTTATGTAGAACATAGTTATAGAGAATAAAAGCTTTTACTATGAGTTGAATTCCTTTAGTTGTTCAGGTGAGAAAAAAACCCATGTGAGTAGCTGGCTTGATAGATTAAGTTAAATCTAGTTAAGATTTTTTTCTCTGCCCATCAGCAAAGTAACCATGGGAAATATTTATAAAATTCCTAACCAGTATCATGTTGTGGAAAGCCCTGGATTTGGGAGCTAAATCTAACTGCAAATCCGGGCTCTGCCATCACTCAAGTGAGTGTCTCTGAGTCTGTTTCCTCCTCTATAACATGAGGACAGTAATGCCTGCCTCACTGTCACCTCAAAGGTGACTGGGTAGTTGTGAGTATTCAGTGAGGTGGTGCAGGCTGGGCGCGGTGGCTCACGCCTGTAATCCTAGCACTCTGGAAGTCCGAGGCAGGAGGATCACGTGAGCTCAGGAGTTCGAGACCAGCCTGAAAAAGAGCGAGACCCCCATCTCTACAAAAAATAGAAAACCTAGCTGTGCGTGGTGGTGCATGCCTGTAGTACCAGCTACCCCAGAGGCTGAGGCAGGAGTTTGAGCCCAGGAGTTTGAGGTTGCTGTGAGCTAGGCTGATGCCACTGCACTCTAGCCTGGACAACAGCACGAGACCCTGTCTCAAAAAAAGAAAAAAATGAGGTAGTGTATGTAAATGCTCTGTCTCAACTAGAGTATGTAGACAGGCAATGACTGATAGCTGTTGTTATTATCACATCAGAATAAGTATCCTGGGTTGCAAGAATACACAATCCTTTGGATTTAATATAATAAGTTTTTTGGTTTTTTTTGAGACAGTGTCGTCTCACTCTGTTGTCCAGGCTAGAGTGCCGTGGCGTCAGCCTAGCTCACAGCAACCTCAAACTCCTAGACTCAAGCAATCTCTTGCCTCAGCCTCCCAAGTAGCTGGGACTACACAGGCATGCACCACCATGCCCAGCTAATTTTTTCTGTATATTCTTAGTTGTCCAGCTAATTTCTTTCCATTTTTAGTAGAGACAGGGGTCTCGCTCTTGCTCAGGCTGGTTTTGAACTCCTGACCTTGAGCAATCCTCCCGCCTCCGCCTCCCTTAGTGCTAGGATTACAGGCTTGAGCCACCACACCGGGCACACTCCCTAACTCTTGAGGAAAGATACAAATGATAGTAGTCTTCAAAAACGTGTCCAACACACCTATTCAGAAATAAAAATACAGCCTGCTCAAGATCTGTAAAGGCGCCTAAAATGAGTGAAAACCAAGGCTCAGAGGCTGTGAGCTAGGCTGATGCCAGGCACTCTAGCCCAGGCAGCAGAGTGAGACTCTGTCTCAAAAAAAAAAAAAAAAAAAAAAGAGTTAGGGAGTGGATGGAGAGGCCTGAAGGTGACTGGGAAGCAGCAGTGAGTGAAATGTGAGCAGTTTAGGTCTACTTAAGGGTTTCCACTAATGTCTTTGATGACTTGCAAATGACAGTCCCTCTCTGCTCACCAGTGAGGGGTGGCAGAGAGTGAACGCTACTTTTGTTTCTTTTCAGTTAAAGGCGGTGGGGGAAGCTCTGGACATTCTGTGTCCCTCTGGGCCCGTAAAAAGCCTTTATCCCTTGACATTTATCCAGGTGAAACAGGTAGGCCCTCAAAGGTAACGCTTCACCTTTTCTCTGCTTGCAAAATTTGTGCTTTCTGGCCTGCCTTGCAGCACCTGCTCAGAGTGAAAGGGCCGCATGGTAAGCGGATGAATCAGACCCCAGGTAATACGTGAGGTTTCTAGTGCTGCACGGTGGGCTGGTCTCTCCTGTGCCCCCCCCCCATTTCTTGTCACTCACACAGGAAGTAGCTCAACCTGCTTCGGCGTAGTTCTGTACAAGTTATAAGTCGAGTGCACTGACTGCCCTAATTAATCTTTATTATTAAATATTAGGCATCTGTGGAAAATCACTATTTGAATACTCCAATAAGACACAGTTTAATTATTTGTCCCTTCCTAGTTAGCTCAGTGGTACAGGGCAGCAGTCCCCAACCTTTTTGGCACCAGGGATGGGTTTCATGGAAGACAATTTTTCCATGGATCGGTGGGGTTAGGGGGCGGAGGAGGAAAGGTTTGGGGATGATTCAACCTCATTGCATTTATTGTGCACTTTATTTCTATTATTATTACATTGTAACATATGGTGAAATAATCACATAGCTCACCACAATGCAGAATCTAATGCCACCGCTGATCTCGCAGGAGGTGGAGCTCAGGCGGTGATGTGAGCAATGGGGAGCAGCTGTAAATACAGATGAAGCCTCGCTCTCCTGCTCACCGCTCACCTCCTGCCGCATGGCCTGGTTCCTAACAGGCCACCAACTGGTACCCGCCTGCAGCCAGGCGGTTGGGCACCGCAGGTATAGGGATTATGTTCTTGGTAGGCTAGGTTATTTGAGATTCTTTTTCCTGCTTTTGAAGAGAACAGAGCACTTTTTTTTTCTAGAGTCTGTATATCTATGTAGTTTTGATCTCTAAGCAGTGCCCCATCTTTATTTTAAAAGTTTTTCCCAACTTTTTATTTTGAAAAATTTCAAATATAAAAAACGTTGCAAGAATAGTACAACAAACACCAATCTACTTATCGCCTAAGTTCACTAGTTAACAGTTGCTTCACTTGCTTTATTTTTCTGTGTGTGTGTGTGTGTGTGTGTGTGTGTAGTCAACTGCTTTTCTTTCTTTAACCATTTGAGTTAGTTGTCAACACCATGACATATAACCCCTAAATATTGCAACACCTGTCTTTTAAGAAAAAGGACATTATCTCACATAACCACAAGACAATGATCATACTTAAGAAATTTAATGTTGAGACAATCCTATTATTTAATATACATTCTATATTCAAGTGTCCCTAGTTCTTCCAGTAATATCCTTTATAGCTTAATTTTTTTTTTCAATCCAGTTTCCAATACATGATCACACATTGATTTAGTTATATCGTCTCTCTAGTCTTCTTTGATCTGAAACTGTTCCTAAGTCTCTCCTGAGAAGAGGACTCTTAGAAGAGAATTCAGATAGAAATCCAGCATGGAACAGAGAAAAAAATCCAGGATTTTGTCCCAGCTCACTCTCACTAATGTCCACAACAGGAAGTAAATAGGCGGAGTTGATTACTAGTTCTGTGGGTGGTATGACTGCTGGGGCAGATTGTTCGAGGCTTTTGTTTTAGACGAGGGATGTCAGCATCTAAAAAAATATTTTCTGATTAGGGACAGGTTATACTCTAGTTTCTCAACTGTCTTTTTTTCTCCTGTTCCTCTACTTTAAACAGTTCTGATAGACTCTTTCCATTTAAAAAAATTTTTTTTTTTTTTTTTAGAGATGGGGACTCGCTATGTTGCCCAGGCAGGACTCAAACTCCGGGGCTCAAGCGATCCTCCCACCTCAGCCTCCCAAGTAGCTGGGACTACAGGCATGTGCCACCATGCCCGGCTAATGGACTCTTTGTTTTGTATGTCAGAGCAGATTTAGCCCAAGAACCTGCAGTATGTTTTACTGAGCAGAGAACTTCATCTCTTGGCTTTGTTGATGTTTGTTCATCTTATGGTTTGTTTTTTGTTTCTTGTTTTTTTTTTTTGTCTTTTGTTTTGTTTTGTTTTGTTTTTGGTGGTGGCAGTGGTGGTTTTTTTTGGTTTTGTTTTTAGAGGTAACATCCACAACTTTTGATACATATAATCACCTGGGTGACCCTGGGCAAATGACTTAATCTATCCTGGGTCCAGTGTCTTCTTGTGGGAAAAGATTGCTTGATAAGACACTCTTCGGGGTTCATTGCATTTCATTATGACGATAGTTATTCTATGATCTAAAAATTTAAGATTGAATTTTTTCTTTTCCTTTTTCAGATTCAATTTTCCTGGAGGGGCAGGGGAGGCTTTTCATTTTATGGTTTTTTAAAATGTCACCTTTATACAGATCGAGGGTAAGCAAGTTTCTCTTTAAACGAACAGCAAGAGTGATACATTTTTCTTAAATCTTTTTCTAACCAGTATTTTGGGTTTGTGCTGTACCGAACAACGCTTCCTCAAAATTGCAGCAGCCCAACGCCTCTCTCTTCACCCCTGGATGGAGTCCATGACCGGGCCTATGTCTCCGTGGATGGGGTGAGCATCTTCTCTGAACTGTGTGCATTTTTGCCCCAAGGGGGAAATGAGTAGTCTGTACTCGTTAGCTTGGCATTTGAGGCCTTTGCTCACCTCTTCAACCTCAGGCTCCACCTCTCTTCTTGATGTCCCTGAGCTGTGCCCCCCACTTACTATGTGGCCTTAAAAATGCACCATCGGCCCAGAATGCACCCCACCCCCATCTTAACCCCCCAGGGCTGTGCTCGAGGCCCCACCCTCTCGGAAGACAAGGCCATCCTTCTGTGACTGACCACAGCATGTTCCCAGGCATTCTTCGCTCCTTGAGCAAAGGACATTTCCCGTTCGGTTTTGTGTACGCCACTAATCTAAGTGGATTGAGCTTTGTGCCTTTATTCCGCATGAGAAATTATAGTCTGAAAGATGGCTTATGACAATCATTACTAAAATGCACAAAGAACTGTGTTTCATAACAAAGTGCAGTTGCGTTTTAGGATTTCCACTCCTCTCACTGCAACAGTCATAGGAAAGAACACATTAAAAAGATTGTCTGAACCAAGGAAATTTGTTTAGAAAATCTAAGATTCAAACATTTCTATTCTCTTGTTATCAGCAGCTTTCATTTCAGTGGAAGCAAGTTTCTAAGACATTAAGACATTACAGCAATGGTGATTGTTTCTTGGCTTCCAATTTGAGAGTTGTCCTAGGGAATTATGGTCAGTGTAACATCAATCTTAAAAATCTAAAGTTTTAAAAAATTAGAAATATTGGCCAGGCACAGTGGCTCACACCTGTAATCCTAGCACTCTGAGAGGCTGAGGCGGGAAGATCACTTGAGGTCCGGAGTTTGAGACCAGCCTGAGCAAGAGAGAGACCCCATCTCTACTAAAAATAGAAAAAATTAGCCAGGTATGGTGACTCTTGCCTGTAGTCACAGCTACTTTGGAGGCTGAGACAGGAGGATCACTTGAGCCCAGGAGTTTGTCGTTGCAGTGAGCCAGGCAGATGCCACAGCACTCTAGTCTAGGTGACAGAGCAAGACTCTGTCTTAAAAAAAAAAAAAAAATAGAACTATTTTGCTGATAAAATACCTGCTGTTGCTCCTCATTCTATTATATAATTTTCATGGTTAATGCATCATATCAAGTATTTTTGAGGTGAGAATACTCCACCTAACTCTCTGATTTTATCTCATTTATCTGATTTTGTCTCAGCTCTCCATGTTGTTTAGAAGCTATTTTTTTATGACTGACTTGCACTGTGAGAACGCAATGCAATCCATTTGCTAGGAATCCTCCCCTGGAATTTTGCCTTTTCCCATTAAAGATAGATGCACAGTTCCTTCTGAACCACAGTTCTATGTAAAAAAAAAAAAAAAAAAAGATGGACAGCAAAACATTTCAGGGCGAAGGAAACCAGCCTAGACCTTCCCATGCTCTGAGCGGTGTCTGGCAATTTTCCTAGTTAGGAAGCAGCGGCTAGGGGAACCTGGCCAGGGACTTGGGCTAAGGAGCCATCAAAGCATTTCTTAACCAAGTCGGACACTGCAAGGCAGGGAAAGGAGTGCTGAGTGAATAGCAGGCTGCCTTTCCCCCCTGCTGATCTTCTTGCTCTTAATTCTGTTCTCATTTGGCCTTGACTTCACAGGTCCCCCAGGGAGTCCTTGAGCGAAACAGCGTGACCACTCTGAACATAATGGGGAAGGCTGGGGCCACTCTGGACCTTCTGGTGGAGAACATGGGACGTGTGAACTACGGCAAACATATCAATGATTTTAAGGTAGGAGAGGGGCTGCACTGTTAGGACTGAGGTTCAAGAGTTGGCAAGGCTATGCCTACGCAGTCTGGGGAAGTTTTCATATTATCCGTTTACAAACTCTCACACATACATTCTTTCCTTCCACTCCATTAACATAGAAGCAGTTTTTTTAAGTTACTTTTTCTATTTAGGGTATGCAACTTAATGTTTTGATACAGGTATACAGTGTGAAGTGATCATCACAGTCAAGCCAGTTAGCATATCAGAGAGGCAATTTGTAAAAGCACACAAAAGGTTTGAAGAGTGAACCTATCTGATTTGTCTTGCAACCTAGAAGTTGAGTTATTTTGAAGCACTGTTTTCCTCCCCAGGTGATGAGAAAGTTAAGCTTTGCAAAACAGAACCTTTCCCTTGTGTTTGAGTTTGCTCATTCTGTAGAAAGAAACGGAAGGAGGAAGCCACTCCACAGTGCTCTTCCTCTGCTTAAAAATCCCACCGGGTCCTCCGAAGGCTCTCTTGCCAACAAAGCCAGGCTAACATTCGGTCTCACCCAGGCGCCGGTGGCTCACGCCTGTAATCCTAGCACTCTGGGAGGCTGAGGTGGGCAGATTGCTCGAGGTCAGGAGTTCGAAACCAGCCTGACAAGAGCAAGACCCCATCTCTACTATAAATAGAAAGAAATTAATTGGCCAACTAATATATATAGAAAAAAAATTAGCCAGGCATGGTGGCACATGCCTGTAGTCCCATCTACTCGGGAGGCTGAGGCAGGAGGATTGCTTGAGCCCAGGAATTTGAGGTTGCTGTGAGCTAGGCTAATGCCACGGCACTCACTCTAGCCTGGGCAACAAAGTGAGACTCTGTCTCAATAAAAAGAAAAAAAAAACATTCGGTCTGCCCTGTGCTGTGGGTTTAGACGGGTCAGTCCCTAAGAAACTCTTGCATTGTAGAAAGCCTTTTCCCTTAGTATACTCCCTCCCACCTCTGTTGGTTACCTTTTGCCCAGGTGTCTAGTCCAAACATGTTTTTCTAGCAAATATTTTTAGAGCATCACTCACCAGACATGTGTTAAGCTCACACTCTTGTGTTAGATGCTCTACAAGGTGCTTCAGGGAATGCAGAGATGTTGAGATACAGGCTATCCCCCGGGTAGCTCACCATCTTTCTGAGGACAGAAGACCTCATCGAGGGAACTATGGCACCACCCAGTCTAGGGCAGGGGTCTGGGGCTCCTTCCTGACCCTCTCTCTTGGCAGCAGCTCGGAAGCAAGGCAGTTACACACAGGGAACAGCTGTGTGCCGGCCGCCTCTGCCTCCAGTGTAAATGTCTCTCTCGGAAACCCCTGTGCTCAGCCTGTAATGAGTGGCCTTCCTGCCCGGCTCTCACAGGCCCTGCTGCCCTGTGATCAGGACTCGGTCGTGTAGTCTCTAGGTCCCCAGTGCCTGGCAAAGAGCCTGGCACACAGCTGCCTACTTAATGTTTATCGAATTACTAAATGGGCAGTTGAGACTTGGGATCCAGCCAGGCCCCGCTGGGAGGGGAGAAGCTGCCCACATGCGAGCCTGGCAAGGGGAAGTTAGGTGAGCCCTGTGCATAGGCTGCCAGGCTGTGGCTGCTGCCACGGACACCCCCGCCCCTGGCTCCCTCGGAACAAATAGAGCAACTTCCCAGTACAAGTGTGAGGTTTGCCATCACCTTCCTCACCCTTCATGTCCTTTCACAGATATCAGAGTTGCTCATTGCTGTTAGCGCATTGGGTCCTCACAGCAGGTGAGCGGGCTCGGGTTGATCGTCCCCTTGAGGACTGCTGAGGTGCTACGGGGTCAGGGCTCGCTCCCAGCTGTACCCATCCCTCCTCCTGCCCTGTACAGTGGGGTGAATATCACACTCACTTGTCCCGTTCCTCAGAGTCCATCATTTCTTCCATTCTACCAATGGCTCTCTCTGCACCCAACGCTGAAGGCTGGGGCGTCTGAGGTCAGACGCTGGGACAGCTCAGCCCCTTCCTGTAGAAGTAGGAACTCTGCCCCTTTTATGGAGACATCCAACGGAGAGAGAAAGCTGTGGTTTGGGAAATAAATCTCTTCCCAAGGAGTTGTGATTCTGCCTCAAACTAGACCCCTGTTACTTCGACATACACGTAGTTTGAGTCTCGTCTCCTGTTGGTGTTTAGTATCCTGGTTTGCTTTTCCCAGGAATTGAGGGCTGGGACGCAGAGACTTGAGAAGCCTTTTCCCTTCCCTCCCCAGCTCATTGTGCCGTTTCTCCTTTCCAGGGCTTGGTTTCTAACCTGACCCTCAACTCCAACATCCTCACGGGCTGGACGATCTTCCCACTGGACACCGAGGATGCAGTGCAGACACACCTGGGGAGCTGCGGTGGCCAGGAAGGCAGCTGCCAGAGTGAATCCCACAGCTCATCCAGCTACAGGCTCCCGACCTTCTATGCGGGGAACTTCTCCATTTTCAGTGGGATCCCAGACTTGCCCCAAGACACCTTTATCCAGTTTCCTGGATGGACCAAGGTATGTGACTTCATGGGAAGGGTTTGAATTGAGGCTTCAAACATCTGGTTGTTAGTGTCTGGGAAAGAATCAAAAATACCTGTTAAGGCCAGGCGTGGAGAAGCATGCCTGTAGTCCCAGCTACTTGGGAGGCTGAGGCAGGAGGATTGTTTGAGTCCAGGAGTTGGAGGTTGCAGTGATCTATGGTGATACCACTGCACTCTAGCACAGGTGACAAAAAAATAAAAAAAGTGACCCCATCTCAAAAAAAAAAAAAAGCCGCCTTAAAATTTTGCCAAGGTCACACAGATATCAAGTGGTACAGATCAGATGAACCCACGCTGTCTAATTTCAAACCTCATCCTCCTAATTCTCCATCATCTCTCACTGGCTGAGTTGAAATATAAACCAGTGGCTCACATCTATAATCCTATAATCCTACCATTTTGGGAGACTGAGGTGAGAGGATCCCTTGAGGCCAGGAGTTCAAGACCAGCCTGAGCAAGAGCAAGACCTTATCTCTACAAAAAATAGAAAAATTAGCTGGGTATGGTGGTGTGCATCTGTAGTGCCAGCTTCTCAGGAGGCTGAGGTAGGAGGATCGCTTGAGCTCAGGAGTTTGAGGTTGCAGTGAGCTATGATGATGCCACTGCACTGTAACTCAGGTGGCAGAAGGAGACCCTGTCTCAAAATAAATAAATAAATAAATAAATAACAATTTGCTCTTTAAAAGACATTATTTAAAAAATGAAAATCCAAGCCATAGAGTGGGAGAAAATAATTTTCAAGTCATATATCCAACAAAAGACTTGTATCTATAATATGTAAAGGATTCTTACAACTCAGTAATATACAAACAACCCAATCCAAAAATGGGCAAAGGACCTGAATAGGCATTTTGCCAAAGAAAGTATACAAATGGCTAATAAGTACGCAAAAAGATGCTTAATGCTCGACATAATTAATCATTATGGAAATGCAAGTCAAAACCACAATGAAATACTACCTCACACCCACTAGAATGGCTATAATGATAAGAGGGACAGTGACACATGTTGGCAAGGATGTGGAGCAAAGGGAATCCTCCTGCCTTGCTGGTAGGAATGTAAAAGATGGTACCAACATTTTTTTTTTGAGACAGAGTTTCGCTTTGTTGCCCAGGCTAGAGTGAGTGCCATGGCGTCAGCCTAGCTCACAGCAACCTCAAACTCTTGGGCTCAGGCAATCCCACTGCCTCAGCCTCCTGAGTAGCTGGGACTACAGGCATGTGCCACCATGCCCAGCCAATTTTTTTCTATATATTTTTAGTTGGCCAATTAATTTCTTTCTATTTATAGTAGAGACGGGGTCTTGCTCTTGTTCAGGCTGGTTTTGAACTCCTGACCTCAAGCCATCCACCCGCCTCGGCCTCCCAGAGTGCTAGGATTACAGGCGTGAGCCACCGTGCCCAGCCGGTACCAACATTTTGAAACATAGTTTGGCAATTTCTTCAATTCTTTTTTTTTTTTTTTTTGAGACAGAGGCTCACTTTTGTTGCCCTGGCTAGAGTGAGTGCCATGGCATCACCCTAGCTCACAGCAACCTCAAACTCCTGGGCTCAAGCGATCCTCCTGCCTCAGCCTCCCGAGTAGCTGGGACTACAGGGATGCACCATTCAATTCTTAAATATAGAATTACCAAAGGACCCAGCCATACTACTAGGTATATACCCAAGAGAAAGGAGAACATATGTTCACAGGAAGACTCATATTCCAATATGCAGTATTATTTATAGTGGTATTATTCATAATAACCACAACTGGAAATAAGCCAAATGTCCATCAGGTGATGAATGGATGTCAGGTGGCATATGCATGAATGGAACACTATCAGCAGTAAAAAGAAACAGAGTACTAACACGTCCCACAACACACATGCATTTGAAAAGCATTATGCCAAGTACAAGCAGCCCGGCATAAAAGGACACATAGTCTAACTCCATTTGTATGAAATACTTAGAAAAGGCAAATCTATACAAACAGAAAGCTTGCTGCTTGCTTGGGGCTGAGAGTGGGAATGGAGAGCGACCGTCAATGGGTACGGGGTTGCTTTGGGGGCTGTTGGTACATCTTGGTGATCATCCCTCTGGGATTTTCAGCTTGAATCTCTTTTCTCTGGCCACATGTTTCTACCCCGCAACTGTCACACCTACCAAGCGTGCTCTTAGATCGTATTAATGACCTGAAGCTCTCTGCCATTAAAGCCTCAGTTCCTCCTCTTTCCATCCTAGTGGTCTCCACTGTCCTTTTTATAAGAGCCATCAATCCACGTGCCCCCTTGTCCTTCCACTGCCTCCCTCGCTCATCTTCCATTCTGAAGGGGTCCACCATGGGTCTTCTGCTGGCTCACCCGTCCCTGAGCTGGGCTGGACGACCTCTCCAGTGCACTGCTCATGGCGGGACTCCCTCCCTGCCTCCCGCCGCCAGAGCCCTCGGGCTTGCACTCCCTGGTCCCTCTCTCTGCTGCCCTCCCCCACTGGCCCTCCCAGCCTCCACCACCCTCCTGAGCCCATCCTCTCTCCCCACCCCGCCCCCTGAGGACCTCAGCCTCCTGCTGCTCTCAGGTGCAGCTCCTCTGTTCCCTCAGCTTCCTGTCACACTGATTTCTCTGCCTCACCCTCACTTCCTGCCCAGTGGCCTCTAGGAGGACCTCTGAGCTCCGAATCCCCTCCCCACCTTCTTCCTCTGAACCAAGATCCTGTTCTCATATTTCCTCCACCTGCATTTCATCAGCCTTTCTATCTGTCAACTGCCATTTTGCAGCCCAACAGTGATTCACGAGGGGCTCCAGGACCTAAAAAAACAGAGTAAAGCCCTCCCTGGACCGTCCCCCTTTAGCTAGCAAGCACGTTCCCTTGCCCTCTCTTGTTCTCCCCTTCTTCTGTAGTAGGAGCAAAGGGCAAAAATGACAAAGCATGGGACATTTTGGAGGTCAGAGGCAGTTTACCTTGGCCAAGTCGTAAAGGTAGCACATGGAAGAGTTACTGACCCAGGCGTTCTGCTCGACACTTTATAGACACTATCTCCTTAATTGTCAGAAGAGGCACATGTGATAGGATGTTGTGTCTTTATCTCCAGTTTGCAAATGAGCAGCTGAGGTGACCTCAGCTGAGTGCTACGTGACTTGTATGAAGTATAGACGTACATGGTGGAACAGGTAGCTAAGCCCCAAGCGTGTCTTGAAGGGCCAGGGAAAAGGCAGGCAGCATTGTACGGGGTGGCCAGCGAGGAGCCTGTGCTGACTACCTAGGCAGGGGCTGTACCTGCTTGGTCTGATGAATACTCTACATCGTCATGTTTGAAAAGTACATATACACACAGTATTTGTGAATGTGTCAGAGGGTTCAAACCCCACCCACCCCCCAAAAAAACCCATCAAACCACAGGTTCACTCAAAAACCTATACACACATGTTCATAGCAGCATTATTCATAATTACCAGAAGGTAGAAAAAACCCAAATGTCTGTTACCTGATGAATGGATAAACAAAAGTCACTACTTCCATACAATGGCATGTTATTGGGCAATAAAAAGAAATGAGGTACTTACACACGCTACAGAATGGAAGAGCCTTGAAAACATGATGCCAGGTGAAAGAAGCCAGTCACAAAAGACCATGTATTGTGTGACCCCATTTCTATGGAATGTCCAGCATAGGCACATCCATACCGGCAGGAAGATCTGTGGTTGCCTAGAGCAGAGAAAGGGGAGCGTTGGGGGAGATGGAGTGGAAGGGTACAGAGTCTCTTTTTTGGGATGATGAAAATATTCTAAAATTCACTGTAGCGGTCACACAGCTCTGTCATAGACCAAGAACTGCTGAATTGTATGGTATATGAATTACATCTCAAAGCTTCACACACACACACACACAAAGGCCCATCCAGGAGATTTGTGGACGCTGGGTTGAGCAGGTCCAAAGGACCGAGGATACGCATGCGCCACATATGAAACAGAACGGATGTGGTTTCTGCTGTTTTCTGGTGTGTGGTTGTCCCTGCTGCCGAGGACAGTCCTGGGACAGCTCCGGGGGCCCTGAATGATCAACTAACTCAAAACAGCTCTTACGCCCCCATGGGATGCTGAGTTCTGACATTTGGGAGAATGAGCGTGTTAGCAGGTGGTTGTGGTCGTGGAGTGGGGACCAAATGATGCCCTAAGCCCCGGCCATGTCCAAGGCCGCGCCTCCAGGCACGCCAACCTCTCCACCCTCATCCTTGGGGAGGCCCCCCGCAAGGCCCCCGGCCCAGGCCTCTGGGCTTTTGCTAGTCATGTGCCGTAAAGAAACTGCCTTGATTTAGAGAGTGGTCACTATGATAAGAGTGATTCATGCGATAAGACAAAAAATCGCTTGATTACCCTGGCTTTACTTTGGTCGGTTGTGGCTTTCTGGTCAATGCCCAGCGAGTATGAACATCACCTGGGATCTCGGCGAGAAGTGGCTGGGCATGTCTTGCTCTGTCCAAGAGACGCACAGCAGAGCTTTGTCTGTGCCGAACGCTCGTCTGACTACAAATTCCCTTAGATGGGAAGTGTTCTCCTCCAGTGCTTCCGTGACGTGTCATCATATGCCATTCCTGACACATTGCGTTCTGCCAGGGCAGTGACGTTTGCGCTGTGTACCTCTCAGATGGATGCGGTTAATCCTCCTATCAGCATCCTGCACTGCCTTCCTGCATGCGTTAGTCTCTCTCTGTGGGTTTGGATGCGTTTCAGAGCATGGTGGTGAGAGAGAGGTAGGATAATGTCCACCTCTCCTCAACCAAAATGATGCTTTGAGGAGCTAAGAATCAAAATAGAATACTGACTGAAAGGTATTTTACCTTTTTAAAGGCAAATGATCCCATCTTCAAGATGTAAAAAAAAAAATAACAGAATAAAGAATCCATAATTTAAAAGGCTGAAAAATTCTCTTCTTTTAACTATTCATGCTGCTGCTTTCGAATGTTTCTTTGCCTTCTTGAATAGAGTATATGGGACTTTTTAAGCCTTGTAGTGTTAATTATTTGTTCTTAATCTATTTG